CAATGACCTTGGTTTCCCCTGCTGCACAACAATGTGTTCCAACAATAAAACCATGGTTCCAGGTTACTACCTCCTAGGAAAAAATGTGACTGACAGACAAACACACAGACAGGCTCTTGAGGTAATCTTTGCTCATGCTTAAGCATGAAGACCACCTAAAAATTAAAAATCTATCATACTTACAAGAACTGATGTCTTGAATCAATGTGAAAAACATCAAGAGCACACATGAAGCAGAACACAACTTCATTTTGTACAAGAATATGAGATATTCCAAATAACACAACTGTTTACAACACACCAGTAGAATTTAGAAGAATTTACTCATTTATTTTACAAAATAAATAAAAATCACATCAAACCACTATATGAAAGTATGTAAATATGTAAACCTTGATTTAAAATGTACAAAACATTTATTGCATTATTAACTGTGCCTAATGCATATATAATACTGAAACACGTTTGTTTTCAATTAATGTAAGTAATTTAGAATGACTAAGGACAGGCACCCTCTGAACTGACTTTAGATATAACTCTAAATATAATTTGTAAAAGTGTTAAGAGTATGAATGGCATTGTACCACAAGATATGGGAACTGGTGAACAACTGAATGCATGCTATATTTTTCTCAGCCATTGTGACTGGCGAGTATCTTAATCAGAGACAGATACACACTTCCTGCACAGGAAGTGACATTGGTAGTGTGACAACTGTTTCCTGTGTTTCTTAGATTGTGGTGTCACTTATTTTTTCAAATCTAGTAAGATTTATGGTTTCAACTACTTCCACTAACTTGGTACATACACTGTATTTCTTTTCTGTATCATTTTGAAAGTGTGGAGTACTTATGTGCTCAGCCCATATTAAAAACCATAGCCAGAATATAATTAATCAAATAACAAACTTCATAACTGATGCCTTTCTTAGAGTGTGATAGTCATTTGACAAGCCAAGAAATGTCCTACCTTTCAAGGAATCTGAAGGTTCAATACTGTGTTCACAAAAGCCCATAAAATCAATCCAGTCAAAATTATCCCACCCTATTTTATTTCTTCATTTTAAAATTATCCTTACATCTATACCTGAGTGGTCTCCTCCCTTCACACATCTAATGCAAGACTTTGCATGCATTTCTGATTTCCCCACGCATGCTACATGACCCACCCATCTCATTCATTTTAATGTTATCCTATACTTGCATACCATATGGTCGATTAAATTACTAAAACACACTGAGGCATTAAGTACATAAAATTAAATGTACAATCAGTACTTTGTTATCTAAATGGTACAGTTACTTTATTATTGCAATATACATGTAAGAGGAGTTTTCATTTCAAGATGACAGTATAAATTAACAAGCATGGAGGCAAAGGGGGAAAAAATGCTGAAGGCTGGATAATTTACCACTCCAGCATCATGAATGGGTTAAATTACAACATTCCAGCAGCAATGATTAATATGTCCATTAATTCACTTACCTGATTTATATCAATATATACCATGAGGAAGATTAAGAGCTGTTATTCCAGAGAATAAAATGGAAAAACTCATTTGTTATGAAATGTTGCAACTTTCTATCATTTAAACCCAACATTTTTGTTTTGAGGCACACAGGAACAATAGGCTGGGGAGTTCTGAATAAGCAAACATGTTCTTTGAATTAAGTATTAGAGAGTAAAAAATATCAGTTGTGAAAATGTGCTACAGAAATAATAAATTATCGATAAATAGAAACTGAATACAACACCACATATAGAAACAAATTTTTAACTTTAGATCATAGACAAGGATTACAAAATTTGTGATAAATCAGGACTGTGGAGTTCCCTAATCATTTCTGTTTCTGGCCATGTCCTTGCAAGTTTCCTGTTTGTGAGCTATAGCTCCAGAAGTTGACCCAGCAAAGGAAGTTCACAGCCTATAACAGAATGGGCTATCTGCAAATTGCCCTTATACTTCAATCTGCAATAGACATGATTCTATTTTTGAAGATGACTGTCTTCAGTATTGTTGTACCATTTCAGTTGCCTGCTGCCTTCATCATCAAGGCTATCATTTCCCCGATGATGGAAGCAGCAAGCACCTTTGAAACATTGCAGTGCTTCTACTCGACTACAAGGCACAACAACCTGGAAGACAACTGTCTTAGTACTCATTGCTTGAGAAACTTAAATCTCAGTTCTCATTTGTCATTCAGGAATTTAATTAACACAGTTCTTATACATAAATTGTTCATTCAATATTTGTAATTACTATCACACCCACACTGCCACCCTGTTGTTCATGGTGGAAGTTAGGATTAAGTCAAGTAGGATTTGAGGTTCACAAGGCAGTAAGCATGAAGATGACTGTCTTCTGGGTTGCAGTGCTGTGTACTCTGGTAGAAGTTCACCAACGTTTCAGAGGGCAGCAAATACCTCTGAAATGCTAGTAAACTTCTACCAGATTACACAGTGCTGTGTACTCTGGTAGAAGTTCACCAACGTTTCAGAGGGCAGCAAATACCTCTGAAATGCTAGTAAACTTCTACCAGACTACACAGTGCCCAGAAGACAGCCATGTTTGGGTTATGACAGCTCAGCTGGTGATGTGGCAGGCAAGTAGTTACTGAAAAATATACAAAATATGTGAACACAAGATTTTGGTAATATAATTATGATGTTTGTTTGTTTAGGTCATTATCTCAGCATTTATATTCCTACAAGTTCTCCATTAAAAATTATTTTATGGTGAACTGAACTGTTGTTGTACTATGACTTCAGACACTGAGCAAAAATTATTTAAATTCTTCTTTATCTCCTTCCTTCAGCAACTTCCAACTTGGCATTTCTCTTTCCTATGGTTAAAAACAAAATAAAGAAATCAATAATCCAGACTAGAATAAAATTTTACAATCATAACAAAATGAGTTTCCACTAGAAAGTTTCAGAACTGATTTTGGTAGTAAAAGCACTTACTTAAATTTATCCTCCTAAAAATTCAGTCTTTCCATAAAAGCACCTAGTAATTTCAGTGGTACTGCTATCAGTTGAAGCACTTCTGATATTCTTATCTTGGGATTCCTGCAGTTCAATTTGTATGAACCTTGGGACTTGCAGTATTTGCTCTTTTTTATGGTTCTTGGGAAAGATGGGATTGAAGGTAATATGTGGAAATGTGGTGAATAGGTAACCGGTAGAATGTTGTGGCAAAGAACTTTTCTTATGCAAAATACAGAGTACTGTCACAACCTACAGAACAAACTTTACATATGCCCTTGTAATACCTACAACTTCAATTAATATTTTCCATAAAGGAATAAAGGATTTAAATCCTTGAGCTATGGAAATGCCCGCCAGACATTAACTATGTACAAGGTTCACCAGTGTAGCAATATGCTAGTGCACCACACAACAAGGAATGGCCAGTGCACTATGTGTAAGAGGTGACACAAGGTCAATAAAGGTTAAAGTCATTTGGCACATGTCAGATGAATGAAATTCTTCTGCTGACTTCTGTCACAACTTCATAATTCCTCTGTCTATTACCATAAACTTTACTGCAAATGAGAGTTAGTGATTCTCCATTATGCAATGCCAATGGACAATCATCATCATCATCATCCTTAGAAGTTTGGCCGTCTTTAAACCCCAAGTATGTATTAGAATGACTTTGCATTTACAGTTCCAAATGCAGTTTTAGCAAATCATGGGTTTCTTTAGCTGTCTTCCACAGTTTCAAATAGAACATGTTAACCACTCCACAAAATTAGTCTATCAATTTCACAGTACAGATAAAAAGCCAACTTCCTACCTGAAGTGCCAAGCCACAAAGAGTAACTACATATGCCATTTTCCTAATGTCTCTATTCTGTGCTTCATTTCTGTATAACAAAAACAGTTCCCAGAAGTTTTCAAAAAGACCTCAATAACTAATGTGAAAAATCCAAGAAAACAATTTTACTTTCTATATATAAATCTCAAAGTCCAGTGGAGTTCACAGTAATGGTATTGGCTGGAGTTCTCTGGATATCTTTATCAAATACATTTCGCACTAAACTTACATTTGCTGGGTGAGATGCAGTTCAGCTATATCATCGTGGCAGTCGTTCAAGTGACAGAGAAAACTGTCATTCTCATAAGTAGGAAAGAAATACCTGTAAAACATATATTCTGCAATTTATTTCATTATATTTACTGTGACAATTCACTTTGTAGTGTTAAAATATAATAAAATATGTCAATATGAGTGCTACACTTACTCTGGATGGTCCCATAGCTGCTTCTGTGGCATAACAAAATGATTTTTCACATTCATGTGTTCCAGTAACTTTTCCCTATTGGGAAGTGTCTCATTGCAACATGGACAGTGGCCTGTATAGACCTGTCTTCTCACATAATTCACTACCTTCACCTGGAAACACCAGTTACTTTGTGTGAGTGTACATATAAAGCTATATCATATACCAGGGATTGCCAACTGTATGCCTGCAGGTACCTTGGTGCCCTCAGAAGGGAGGTTTCTGGGTACCCATGAATATTTTAGAATATTCATAAAGAGTTCAAAATGTTTAATTTTTCAGTTGTCCAACTGGTCCCACTCTCTTAATATTTAATCTTGGTACAGCAGATGTGAAAACATGATCATAATCTAATTATTTCATTTTTTATCCACCAAGTTCGTACAGAGCCTAATGCGTAGAATTGATACATTTACAAACTGAAGGACACACACCCATGGACACGCAACAATTAAAAATGTACATCACTCGCTTCAGCAGAATAGATATTGGTCAAAATTAGAACGGCAATCAGAAAATTCAGTGTCTACTGCAAAGAAAACACAATTTGTTACCATTTCAATTATCAACTGGTCAGTTAGTACTCATACCTCTTCTGTTCAAGTGGAAGATGGCACATGCCCATAAAACATTCTTAACAACCACCACCACCTGTATTCCAACTCAGCTCAAATAGGCAGCAGACAGACATGCCCATAACTTGTTCTTCACATACACTAATGCATACAGAATGCATAACAGTAATAACAACAACTAGTTTCCATTAAGTAACAAATCAAGCACCAATCACCTGCTGGTAGAAATCCATAATAATAACAACAACTACTTTCCATTAAATAACAAATCAAGTACCAATCACCTGCTGGTAGAAATCCATAACAGTCTCAACACAGATTCTTGTGAAGTCAAAACCATGTGCATCATTCATATGACTTAATATGTTGTCAAAAGTAGATGATATATCACAGAACAGGCAAACTACCGGATCCTCATCTTCCTGCCAGTCGGACCAGTCCCCATCGCTGACATAACCGTCAGAGTTTTCCACATTGGACAGCTCATCATCTGGTTCATTCTGCAAGAAAATGGATCAAAGTGTTATGGGTATTCACATTGACAGCAACCAACCTACATGATTCAAAATACAGCACATTCTGAAGATGGATGTCATCTGGGTTGTTGTGCTGTGTAGCCTGGTAGAAGTACCTCTGAAATGTCAATAAACTTCTACCAGACTATATGGCGCAACAATCCACCATGAGAACCTCAAATCCTACTTAAAACATGCATTACATACATATATTTCCTATTAAAATTCCTGTTCCATATTTCATGTCTTAATAAACAGCATACTAAGGGTGCAGGATGTGTGGGTAGAGAAAAAAAGATGATTAATGTAAAGTTCAATTACCCATAAAAACACTTTTAAATTCAACAAACTATATACACAAACTATAATATGAATTTACCTGAATCTGACGCCAATCCTTCCCCACCTCAAGGTAATTTATCATATAAAATTTGTCAAATTCAGTATCTTTAGGGTTAATTTTCTTGTGTTGCTTCTTTCTCATGTGTTCCTTCAGAACAATCTGGTTCTTGAAGATCTTGGAACAAAACAGGCACTGCAAGCTGCCAGAACACATGAAATAAAACCTTATAAGATTAAAGTTTGTCCGCAGATTTCATGATTGTCATTTCATTTTACAGAAAACTTGATTTTAAAAAATTGTTAATGAAAACAAGTTACAGAATGTAATATTTAACAGATAAAGGAAGAGCTGAAAGGAAAAATATGCCAAAAATAGATAGTTCTGTTTTACTAGCATGTCAAAAAAGACATTTTCAAGGATGAATCACTTTCATAAATCATTATCATGCACCTAAGTAAGATATTTATAAAAAAAATTGTAGAAAGAACTGTGTAATGTCATTGAAGTCTTCTATAGAGAGATTATTTAAATCCCATAACTCGCAAGAGAATGGCACTTAAGATCATGATTATGTACTTGATATACAAACTGTAAAAAATAATTCCAACAGTGTTTCTACACACATTCATGTCTGTTTTAAATTTCTGTTGAAACCCTCCCCACACTGTTGCAACAATCTGGAACAATATTCTTCTTACCTTCGAATTTTCAGTTCTATTAAATCCAGTAGCTCATCGACAAACACGAGATTTTCTGGTCGTCCAAGCTGCAGATTGTGCAAAAGGGACAGATGGCACAGATAGTCCGCACGACAGCCAATGAACTGAAGCCGACACATCAGACATCCACGTGAAAAACTTTTGTCCTCTCTCTCTATGGTCTGTTGTCTTAATGCCCATCTCTATACAGACAATATGATAATTCTATATAACAGATGACATATAGTGAGATACCCATTTCACTATATGTCATCTGTTATATAACTTAATAGGGGCTCGGCCCGCCACCCTTACCCCAGATCATGGAGGCCATCAGCTGAAGTGATCTTCCCCCCATGCCGCAGAGGCCTTCAGCCGAAACGGCCCCTCCCTCTCTGGGTTCATACCCCAGAGACCCAACCAACCAAATTCCTTCGACAACTTGCCTGACGGGATAACCTCCCATCAGCAGCAACAGATCCCAGTTTGAATGGTCGAGGCTCCCGCCACGACGAAACCCCGTTAGCGTTAGCAAAATTTCCGTTCTTATATTACGACCGTTTACCATTTCCAGCAATGCGTCTTGTGCGCAGGAATGGTTTCACCTAGGTAGGGACGATGCTTGCGCTTGCGCAGGCCTCTGCCCTCAGTTAGCTTCTTTGGTTGGTTTGGTTGGTTGAGATACCCATTTAAGGTCTGGCTGTTAAACAAGCATTTTGTACCTAAAATCCAGAAAAACCTTAAATGATGAACTACACATGCTGTATTCACATGAGCACTGAACTGGGGTCCAGATTCCATGTGTGGACCTAAATTTAAATCCTGAAATGGGTGCAATACCTTAGATCAAGAAACATTAACATAGGGAAAACAGTATATTATATTATGGTATTTATAGAAAGATATTACAAAAATGGGCTTCTTATGAACAGGCAATATCTTCAACATGAACATCAGAGACTAACCAATTGTTTATTTTGGAGATCTTCTCTCAGCTTCTTATCTTCAGGTACAAAGTCTCCCAGAAGAAGAAAGCTCACCCTTGATCCATCATCTCTGGTATCACTTATCATCCTTGAACATATTTTTTCAGGTGGCTCTGTCTGGAATCGTGATCTCCAATACTCACAGTACCTGAAGACATTTGTTGCATCCTTAACTGTTACAGTAAGACCTCAGAAGAGGAAAGAATTACTGGTACATTAAATTTCTCTTTGAGAAACTTTATATGCATCTGGAAGAGGAATTACTTTTATGCTTCACTTTAAATTAATATTACATTTTATGGCATTCTGTGACATGGCATCAGCATTGCTACCATGTCACTTCACATGGATGTCATGTTGGTATTATTTATTGTATATTAAAAGTGTAATGGTGGAATGGCCTTAAGATAAAGCTTCATAAAAATCCATCAACTGGTCTAAAATTGTTAGGATGACACACACACACACACAGACAATATGATATAAAACAAGAGATTGGGATAAAACTATATTATTATTATTATTAATATTATTATTATCCCATCTCTTCACCACTTTATGGGGTATGTACTTCTATGTACCCGAGACAGACCTTGTCCCTAAGGTACATAGGGCAGCAGCTATTTCCGGGATACATTTTGTTTTTAATATGTATTATATAATTTTATTTTATGACAGCGTATTATTATTATTATTATTATTATTAGGTACTCTAATATCTTTATACATCTGACAGTTTATTAAACAGTGGCATTAAAATGTTCATAATCAGAAATATTAAATGTGAAGTGAAAGCATTTCAAACAAGCCCCAGTGACTTGGCTAAGGAAACAACAGTCTTGACATCAGCTTATATGTTAAATGTACCAACAGCCCAGGCATTCACCATCTTAATGTAGTTCAGTACACACTCACATGCTCACACTGGCTATCTTTTCTGTGTCTGCTATCTTAAACTGATGACATCTGAACAAATGAGTTGAAAACAATGTTTTATCCTGTGGTAGTACAAATGTTTTTGTGCAGAATAGGCAACTTGCTATTTTCTCATCTTTGAAGATACGATGAAACGCATTTTTTGAAGAATGAGAAAATGTCAGAGGTCCAAAAGCATCCATATCCTTCCCTGGAAATAAAAACAGTATTTGACTTATCATTAATATTCACAAAACTCAGCAATAATTAAAAGCTACTTAACATAAACTTCATACAACACCATGAGTCTGTACAAAACTGATATTCAGTCAAATTCATACCTCAGCACTTAAAAAACAATGGTTCATCAGTTATCATTGCTCTTAAAACATGATGCTTGTTCCTGACAGCCAAGTGAATTTTTATGTTCCTCTCCTAACACAACCACTAAGTAATATTGGCCACAAAATATTTTACAAAAAGAAGTGTCTGAATCGTGATCTGAAATCCTGAAAATTAATTTCTGATTCCATTATAGCCCTGTCCCCCAGCAAATGCAGACCTCTTAGTAGGGGACTTTCTTTTTCCATGAGCAAATAAATTGTTTTGACATACATTATATTTTACGGTTTTTACTCACATAAATTACATGGCCCTATAACCGAAATAGAATCCACTAAGTAGATTTCAATTGTTCGTATTTTGGGCTAGTAACCACAGATGAATCCAAATTCTGACAGGTTAGATATCTGCAAACTATAAATAACCCTCATGTATTCAGCGACAGATGTATGTTGTCATATTACTGTATTTGAGAAGTAACCTATACAATATCGCTTAAATTCCGAAAACACAAACATAACAGTAACAAAATTACAGCAGAATCTTGCCTGTAACATTCCTTCACTGCGTGGGTGACACTTCTCTGGAGGAGTGCTCTATCCTATATTTTGCTATTATTGGCACCTTTTTCAAACTACGAAGCTTTTCATACCTTTCGTATCAACTTCCACCCCGTCCCCAAACTTTGCCAAGTTTAATCAATAGTACGAAATTTATAAATGAGAAACATTGCAATCTTACCACATCAGTACTCTGGGAATATGTATTGCATTACTACACAATCATTTTAACCTGTTATTCGAATCACCTACTTTCCAATACGTACTACCCCACAGGTACTAAATTTATTCCCTTGACATTCTTGATCATTCTACATACGTACTATCTGGATTCCAGTCAGAATTCATGGCACAAAGACATTCACAGAAAAAAACATTACGCATGTTAAGAGCATAGATGTTCCGTCACAAGCCTTACGTTTTCCAACTTCGGCTGTTGAGTTGGTAGAATTGACTCATTCTGTTAAAGTACAATTTTTAAGCGAATATATGTATAAGTGCATAACCACAAAGTAAAATCCACATATTCTGCCCCGTCATTTAGGCCTACGTCAGCATTTCAGATACACGAAATCCATTCAAAACAGTAATGAACAAGTATGTCAGAAGGGTTCAAAATAATCTCTATACCTATTAACGCAATAACCGCAAGACCAATTTCTTAATGCTGGCATGCATTGCAGCTCTGAAACAAATAGGACACAAATCAGACCTATTGCTGAAATATGACAGTATAGACAGATGGAACATATAAATCAAAACTTTAAACTTAAAAGTACTATGGTCACTGTATGTACTAGTACCACCTGATTTAATATTCAACAACTTTTACTCAGGCAATCCTGAAGCATTTCATAGGTTCTCAATGATTATTTTCCCAAAATAGCATTAACCGGTTGTCCTATGCATGTAGAAGCTAAACTTTTAAAAGATTACTTAGATGAATGTGGTGCTTCAAAGGGTTAATCCAGTCACACTCAATATAGAATGGCACATTGTGACTCTAATATTGGTATATAAATACTTTTCAGATTTAAATATTTAGTGCATACTTTTTATATTATCTGGCAAAAATGTAATTGTTTATAAATTATGCTCTCATCATCCAGACCAGCTCTGGGACCCATTCAGCCTCGTATCCAATTGGTACTGGGGACCTTTCCCAAGGTGAAGTGCAGCCAGGGCATGAAGCTGCTCACTCACCTGTATCTAGTTCTGAGGTTCACAATGAGTAGGATATATACTGCCTCTCCCCCCAAGCACCTACTGCCTCTCCCCCCAAGCTCCTACATGGCATGTCATGGGACAGCTTTACTTTTCATCATTTATAATTAACTTAAAATTATTTTTAATCAATTCAGAGAGGGAACTGTAATTTTGAACGTCTGAAATCACAGACTGGATATCACACGACGTTCTCAGAATATATTTGCAAAATATTTTACCAGAAGCATTTTGTTCTCTCATAAATTTGTAAAAGAGCCTGGAAGTTTTTGCCTTTAATATTTTGAAAATTTGTGCAGTAAAGATCTGCTATTTTGTACTTATCTTTGTGAACAAACTTTTTTATCAATGAAACAAATCAAGGGCAAACAGCGATCTTGACCTATACCTTGTAACTTTGAAGAACTGGTGATTCCTGCAACAACGTAACATGAAACATGTAGCATGGTAATAAACCTCTGGGTCCCATAAAAGATGAGAAATTTGTTGACTGGCTGAACAGATGTTAGCTTCTGCCCCATGAAGCATAGAATCAATGGCTTCCTGAGCTAATCTGCCACAGCCCTTAAATCCATTAATTGCATACTACATATGTACAAGCATAGATTTACACTAACAAAGATCATCTGGCACCTGGATGCTCAGATAGCTAAGTTCTGACTTCGCATATTTACGCCAACATTAACTAAGATCTCTCCCAATAATCTTCTCCAAAAATTAGTTTTAAAATGTATAATCCTGTAAGGCAATATTCCTTGTTACTAAGATGCTGAAATTAAGCTGAAAGTAACATGAACAATAAAAGCACAACCATGCTTCTTCAATCTTTTCCTTTAAATTTATTTTACTTATAATGTACAGTTATGTAATGGGTTGTATGTTTTTAGTGTTTATGGATACAGTGATGAAGTTTTGAAGTTCTGCTTCATTGGTTCTAACTAGCTATGCTAACACTTGTTCCAATTTTCAAATGGTGCCTCACATACAACAATAAACACATAATGTATACACATGTGATCAGAGGTTTAGTAGAGAGAATATACAATCTTTTTCAACAACAACAATAGGTGTTTCAGAACAAGATACTTTGTTTTAAGAACATGGACAATGAGAAAATTCACTTGCTTCACTTTATTTTTATTATTGTTATAATCATCTTCATGTAAAGTGATAGAGTAAAGATTAATTATTTTATACAAAGCCAGGAGCATCAATATTTCCCTCATTTCTAATAAAAATCAGTGCTACACCTGTTCTATAAATGAAAGTGGATCAATTAAGTTGCCCTAATATCTCAATTTACTTAATTTATACCTGTGTATTTTATAAACCAGTATCTATTTTGAATTAAATCTAAACTTCATCATAAAATAAATGTATGTATATATGTATGTACAAATGCATGCGTGCGTGCGTGCATGTCTGTGTAAGCTGACCAACTGTCAGCTCTGCATGAAGGTAGTTCTATTCACATACAGAAGAAACTGGTTACAAAAACTGCATTTCCATAGAATTCAGTCTAGACACATATTTAAAGACTATCTGTTTCCTTTTTATCTCACAATTTGAATGTTCCACTTCCATTCTGAAGACAGGTGTTTACATTTGGTAATAAAAGCATGCCATAACTTAAAAATGAAATAGAAAAATTCTTATATAAAAATGGCAATCAACTACTTTTTATATAAATGAAAGTTAACACCAATTTTTCATCCAACACAGTTCCATAAACTCAAAATAAATGTATTATTTATTTTTCTTAAAATATGGATCTCAAAATTTAAATGACATTAGTTGTTATGTAACTGGTATCTTTAGATAAGAGGCAACAGAAAATATTACTATTCTCAGAAATAAAACATATCCATCTTGGCATTTTTAAATTTATTCAAAGTTCACACTTCACTTATAAACAAGAAACCAGATGTCAAAACTAAGAACCACTGTTAATGCCAAAATAAGGTAACTACTGACAACTACAGAACACAAAGATCATCTCTGTAACCCACATACATTCATTCATTATAAAGAAATGGAATGAATTATTGTACATCTGTAACACTGATAAGGACAATGATATCATGTTTCTAAAATTAATGAGCATGTTGATAAATGTAAGAAAAAAATTAAAACAATGGTGAAACAAGAAGCAAAGATATAAGAAACATGAGATTGTCTGACAAGATTAATATATATATACACACATGCATATTTACATTAGCACTGTATGTGTACGTGCTTTCCAATTGCAGCCACACATAACAATAAATGTTATCTGCAAGTAATATAAAATAACTTCATGGCAGAGAATCCAGCATCTTCCAGAATACAATACATAAAAAACAACTATGAATCTTTATCATAGTATAACTATTTGGAAAATAGAGCTAGCTTCAACTGCCAGGAACAGTCACAGCCAATTAATATAAACAAGGAACATCCAAAGAGTATGTTAATAAGACTGACTGACACAAAACAAAGAAGTAAGGTACAAGTGTGGAGTGATGGTCTGGGCTGCTGCACCATGGAGTATTTTGGTTGTATGGCAAAGTTTTAGAAAAACATGCTGCATTCATCTTTAGGACTGAAATGTAAATTCGCACAACCGATGAGACCTCAAATCTTACATAAGATACATCTATGTGGCAGAAACGCTACTACCCTGAAGATGAAAGAAGCGTGTTCTTCCAAAATGTTATTACACAGCACAATCCAGAAGACAAAACTCACACTGCTGTGAAAATCTCAAATCATGCAAGAGAATTTAATATTGGTTATGTTTACTGGGATTCATCTTCCAACTCCAATGCATCAAGCATGTACCATAGGCAAGTTTTTTCAATACATCACGTAATGAGTACAATCCTATTTTAAAGGTCTTCCGAACACCACTGTAGGAATTATTTAAAATTATAAATTCCCTGCTATTTTTCTGATACATTACTTCCCAGTACATGTATGTACAATACAATAAATTTACAATCACAATTCCTGTGAGAAACTCAAGAAAGGAAAATAATCATAATATAACATGAGCATATGGTCTGAATAAATTCACATCTAAGGTCTGAGGTTTTCACAGCAGTGAGCAAGAGGATGGCTGTCTTCTGGGTTGTAGTACCATGTAGTCTGGCAGAAGTATACTGTTTCAGAGGTCATCTTCAAATTCACATCTGATTTGCTTGAAATAGCAAATATAGAATGCATAACCATAAGTTCTATACTCTACAAAACCACACACATTACTATGCTTCATTCTTCCAGAAAATATTATTAAACCTGATAAGTTGGTATTTATCTTTTGGAAATGCAATCCCTTAAGCATTTTCAATTTTGTGAATACTATACTTTGAAATTTAAACAGAAAGTACATGATCAATACACACTAATGAAATAAGATTAACACAATATGAACACTTGCTAACTGAAATGCAGAGCATAACTTGAAAAATATTCCACCACATTTCTGCAACTTCACAGCTTCAAGCCTAATGCAGACTGATAATGAACTGTTATTTTCAGCACAGACACAACTGTTAATACTGGTCTAATATATAAAGTAAATACAAACACTTTCTCCTGGTTTCTTCTGTGTCCTGCCTATAAAAACATGCGTTTCTTCAAAGATGGCCATCTTCTGGGCTGTAGCGCCATGTAGTACAGCAGAAGTTTCCCAACATTTCACATCATCAGGGTAATGATCATCATTGCCCTGATGATGAAGGCAGCAAGGACCTCTGAAACATTGGTAAACCTCTACCAGACTACATCGTACTACAACCCAGAAGACAGCCATCTATATACTCACCACCATGAGAACCTCACATCCTACTTCTGTTTCTTCACATGCCTACGGTTCCTGAAAATTTGTAGTTTTAAATTTCAGAGAGCTTTCAGGTTTTCATAAACAAATTATGATTTTTCATGTGAA